TCGGCGCCAGGAATTTGCTAACACGCGACAGTGCAAGTGCAAGAAGGAGAGTTTATTGGCTAGCTCAAGCTAGGGTCTCTGCTGACACCGATGCGGCGGCTTGGGCAAAAGACCCCGTGCTCTCTTACTATTATATTTTTATAGGAAAAAATATAGGGTGGAGTAGCACCAGGGCAAAGGGGTACAAATGATTGGTTGTTGCTAGGGGGTTTAGGGTAGAGCTCTGAGACATGGGGGGATGTGCTGGAATCTCCGGGCCTAAAGACTGGTTAGAGAATAATTACCTAGGGAGGATGTAAAGCCCTGATGCGTGGGAGACTTGCAGAAGCCAGGTAAAGCTCTGAGGCGTGGGGGGACTTGCGGGAGTCTCTGGCGCTAAAGACTCCTGGTTAAATAATTACCTGGAGGGCATTAGGACTCAGGCCTTATAGCCCCTCCAGTGTGTCATGGCTGATTGATCAAAGGGGTGCATCTCCCTACAGTAGCTGGGTGCATCGCCCTTGGGTAGGTGTTCTTCATGTACGTCTTTCTACTGTTGGGCTGAGAGCCAATCCATGGAAGTGAGTCCATTTCTAGGCCCGAAGGGTAAGCTGGGATGACAGTCTTGGGGGTTCCACTCATCTCTATCCAACCAGTGATTTTGGTCATTTTTGGTTTTTGAATTTTGTCCCACATTTTTCCTCCCACTCTATCCAGGATCTCCATTTTTGATCCCTTTCCAAGTGGTTGGCATTGGTATGGGGCACCATCTAATTCTTCTGGTCTCAGGGTCATGAACGCTGAGGTCCTCACGGTCTGTCTTATCCTTATTTCCAGATGCCTTTAATTTTCACCATTTTGCTTTGCTTCAGATGAGAGGAGAGCAATACTTGCATCATAGATGGCCAGTCAAAAGGTTTTAAGACCCCAGTCATTACTCATCAAAGCAGGATGTAGAACATGATTTTTATGTACTATGTGTGCCAAAGGAGCTCTGGTAGCATAGTGCCTAAGGCACTTGACTGCTAGCCAGAAGGCTGGTGGTTCAAACCCACCAGCCACTCCTCGGAAGGAAGATGGGGAAATCTACTTCCATAGTGATACTGCCTTGGAAACCCA